GGCCAGCGTTTCACCTATCCGACGCGGACGGTAAAACGATAAAACCGCCGGAATGATTTCGCCGTGACGACTCGAAGTGACAACAGTATCGATGTGTCGTGCGACATCAGCCAACGTATTGCGCACAAAATAACGTCATACGCAATACGGACAATTTGTCTCGGTGTCCATATCGTCACGGCGTGGTATTAACGATATGTCGTACGAATCGTATGTGCGTGTTCACTCACCGAATCAACCACTATTTATTCAAAATGTACATCGTCGAAGATAGATAGTAGGATAGACAGCAACGAATTGCAAATCGAGATTCGTCATCTCGCATTATTGTCAATGACCCCGACGACGATCGACTCGTCCGCGAGATCGCTCGTATTCTCTTCTTCGATCAATATCTGCTTCGTGGCGCCGTTGACGCTATCGCTGTTCGTCGAACCACCGTCACCAACCAATCGGATCACCGGTTACTTCGGTGCTCTTGGTCGAATCGGTGTAACGATGGGCGACGCAGATGTGCACCGTAACGCACGATGACCTATACATGCGAGATTCGTCGTTACCGCGCGATGTGGCGTATTATCCGAAAGGCACCGTCGACGCGCCCGCCTCGTCGACGGCGTTTGACGACGAGTCGCGAGATTGGAAACGAGATTAATGAAATAAAATGCAAACGAGGACAAAAAAAACAATCTCTTTACTTTTCGTTCCTCGACAATCCCCTTCTCCCGCGCGACGACGATCCAGTCCTCTCCTCCGAATCGTCTCGTTTCGTTTCGTCGCGGCATCGCTCAATCGGGCGAGTACGGAACGCTTGGTGCGCTCCAGATTTCGAATGAATCGTACGAACTCGACTCGTTGGTCCATCGGCGCGATCCCGAACAGATCGCAATAGCCGGACGAACGTCCGGCAGCATCGGATGCAGCCGACGCAACTGTCGTCGATGTATCTCGATCTCACCGTTGCACCGACGACGCGCCACCGGCGAGGACGTTGCGAGCAAATTGGAGTATCTCGTCAATTTGACGTACCAACGATCGTCGCGATGCGTTGTTTTCGACGAGATCCGATCCAACGGCGCGCCGTTCGTTCGCTCGTCGCGGTCCGCACCGACGACAGGTTCGTCGTACCACGTGGAGACGGTGAACACCGTGGTAGGATTCCGCCATCTCCCTCGGTGCGCCCTCGGTCGCTTCTCTCTCTCTCTCTCTCTCCCTTTCTCTCGATTCGAGCGTGACGTTGAATCGCGAGCGACGGTATATATACGCGACGACACGTTCGAACCGAGCGTTGTCGGAGCACGGTCGAATCTGTACTCGCGCGACATGTCGACGCTGCGATCGACCGCGCGCTCCGTCGACGAGTACCTGTTCATCGCTATCGACTGCATCGAATGCAAACGCGCGTTCAAAGACGAAGCGACCGCATCGGGGCGATCGATCGTGCCGTCACGTCGCGACTTCATCCGAATCGGACGATCGGCGATCGTCACGGTTATCATCTACGTGGCCGATCCTTCGAGAGAATTCCTGCGAGCGTGGGACGCATCGTTGGATGATCGCGACTGTCGTTTTCGTCCGACTGCTGTGTGCGGTGAGGACACGCCGCTCATGTACGACCGGTGTAACGTCCTGCGACGTTCTCTCCACCATATCATTTTTTCGCCTCTACATTAAAAGGCCAGCGAGACATATAGGTAGATTCAACCATAGAGGGTAATTGTTACTATTAAAATTTATCGATAAAAGTTCATATCTTTTAAAATAATAATAATTTTAGAAAATCGCGCGGTGCGATTTAAGGCTCCTTCAAAGTATTACAAATTATGTCCTAATAAAATTTCTGTAAAATCAATAGTTTAGAAGTTATGGCTATTTGAATATCTCGACCAATCAGGAAAAGGCATGTTTTTCTCAGTAACTATAAGCCTAGAAGAAAAATCTTAATTGCTAACAATAGCATTAAAAGACCTCTATTTAACGACCATATTAACATTTTGAAAAACATTAACAATTAATAAGAAACCAACAATGTTACTTACCAGTAGACTTCAGAAAATTCTAAAATTCATACGCAGGGACTATTGGGACATCAGTAATGCGTACCTTCCGTGAAAATTAAGAAAAGTCAATTTAAAATATTTTTAACACTTACGTACATAGAGAACATTTTAGTGAAAACATAAGCAAATGTCAAAACCTCAGAATATTACTTTACAAAAGGAAATAATGCCAAACGAAAACAATTAATTCTTGCCCACAAACAGAGAATCCTTCTGACAGTACATTCTCAAAATTTGGTAATTTTACTTAAATTTAATAAACCTCATTTATTTAAGTTCAGGGGTCGTTTAAATACCCTATTTAGCTTGGAAATCCACCATTTTTGCCTTGGTCACGTTTAAATACTTTATTTAATTTAATTTAAGCCTTCTGTCACGTTCAAGCTCCTCTTAAATATTGCACCTCTTTAAT